TCGGTGACTGTGGCGACGAATACAGGCGCGCGTAATACTCGCCTCCGTAATGTGGACCATTCATCCATATTTGCAACCGATATATAAAAATTTTGATTGCCCAATCGTATTATGTATTTATGTATATGAGGCATCTTTTATCTCTTTACAATACTTTTCTTGATTTCGAACTAATTCACGTGTAACTTCTCTTATATTATATACTGAATATAAGGCTTATACATAGCACCATTTGAACACTTTTTTCGCAATTTGAGTATGTTGTCGCATAAAACTTCAAAACGAGATAATACATTACAAATAGTCCATACATCCGTATATATAAATGTCGGCGAATCCAGGATTTTAGATAAGGGTGTTTGAAATTTAATATGAATAGGTAAATAACACATGTAAAAAATATCAAAATCCGTGTGTCCTTAAAAGTATATTTTTTTATTTTTGAAGGGCTTCCAGCTAATTTCTTCCTTTTTAAAAGACCTGTTGCATAGAAAGTATTTGAATTACTGCAATTTGTCCAGAACACAAAAATACATCTTTACGAACAATATTAAAAATGAAATTATTTGTATTCGTGCAAAACTGTAGCACTGTACTATTTGATTAAATAGAATTAAATCAAATTACGTCATTGATTAGGTGATTACAAAACATCCCAACCCTACATTCTTCCATCGATGTATACGTAACCACGTGGTGGGAGCAATTCCATGAAACGCAATTTATGGCTTAAAATAAGTTCGAAAATCAATTTTTCGATTTTCTTTTTAATTTCCCGATTCTTGTTTTCTGCCTATTTTACCCCTGAACATTTCGATGCTAGAAAAGCGAAAAATGTCTTTTATATACTCCATCCGTTTTAAATTAAGTCGTTTTAATGTTTCGACTTACTATTGAAGAAAATCCATAAGAATATAGATCTAAAAAGTCGTTTTTCATTTTAATTTAAAAAAATTAAACACAAAAAATCTCATTTTTCAGTTTATGTGCTAAGTAATAAAAAATAAATTTGCTAAAATTATACAAATAAAAATAAAAATATAATAGTCACCGTCTATTAAATATTAATACAAAGTATACATACATAAACACGCACGAAATAATGATGCCCACATGGTATTGGCAAGTGGGTTTATCATGCAATGAAATGCAATGGTTGTCTTTGTCTTATTTTTTACATGGTACATTGTCCACATCCTTCATCCCATATACAAAACCTAATGTTGACTTACACAAAATTATATAATAATATTAAAATAAAAAATTGAAATTGAAAAACAAAATTCCCTTTGTCACCATATGAATTTATCATTACAAAAAAACATGGGCTCCTAGACCAAAAAATAACTAACTAAATAAACATTGTAACTAATCAATTGTAGACACGTCACACAACATTATTCTATAAATATTTAGTGATATATTCATATATATATTAAATTACAAAAATGTATTAGACTAATTCGATTTCGAGGCAAAATTATGAAAACATATGTGGGATATAACATAAATATTTGACCCATGCATGCATGTTAAAAAAAAGATAAGAGCATTATTTACAATATTAATTAATTTGTTTTACTAAAATATATATTATATTCCACTAGTAATATTCGACAGGGGTATCAGGGCAGCTCTCATCAGAGAGAACATCTCTAGTGAAAATAGGAGGAACAAAAGGTGGTGTTGTACATCTCAAGAGTGCCCAATTTACCCCTCCGAAAAATTGGTGGTGCTTAATTGCCGAAGCGCCCATCGTCGATCCCAATCTCCGGCAAGGGTCCTTTGCGAGCAGCAGCGTTATCAAGTCCTTGGCCGATGCGGGGACCACCGGCTCCTTCGGGAACTCGAGCGCCCGCGCCATTATGTTCGCTAGGGTCACCTCGTGGTCCATGCCCCGGAACGGCGTCACGCCGTAGAAGAGCTCAAAAAGGAATATTCCCAACGTCCACCAGTCGACCGCGCTCCCGTGCCCTTCCCCCGAGACTATCTCGGGGGCAAGGTACTCGTGGGTCCCGACGAACGACATCGACCGGACGTCGATCGGCTCAGCGACGAACGAGGGGCCCACGTGGCGGCCGGCCAGGGCTTTCTTCTTGCGCCTGCGCATAGGGTTGAAGCACGAGACGGAGGGTACGATGCAATTTGGGAGGATGCATGATGTGGCGCCGAATTTGGGTGGGTCCATTGCGTACTCGCTCTGGGGTGGGGCCGGTGTATGGTTCTGGGCCGGGATCACCTGCGCGGGGGTGGATGTGGAGTCGTCGCACCTTAGGGAGAGGTCGAAATCGGTGAGCATTATGTGCCCGTCGGATCGGACTAGGACGTTTTCGGGCTTGAGATCGCGGTACACGATGCCCATCATGTGTAGGTATTCGAGGGCTACCACAACCTCGGATGCGTAGAACCTTGTAACAATACGACGAATGTTAATAAGGGTAAAACAGGAAGAAAAAAAATGCATTTAATGAAATGACAGATAACATGAAACAAAAATATTTCTTTAAAGCGGCAGTTACCGTGGAATGAAGGAAGTATTGATTAGTTGAGAGCTAATGAATTATTGATTACTTAGCAATGTGCCAAATGAGTGGACCTAATTACTTCATGCAGAAAATACATATAGCATTATTGCACTAAAGCATAGACATACATATATATGTATATATATGTAATCTATCATGTGTTTATCACATATGAAGAAGGGACCAATATGTTTCCCAACTTTATGAACTATGTTTTATATGAACTATGTTATATGGGGGGGGTGTCTTAGGACCCTCGTCTCCCCAAACGAAAGAAACAAATTACCAAAGTAAGAGAAAATATCGATAAAAGTTTGCTCAATTTGTCCTCTAAAACTCAACATTTAGTGTCGGTATTTATCAATTTTGTCGTGTTTCACGAGGTTGCTTTCTGGACTTCGTCTCGATTTGTTTTCTAGTTTTCTAAGAAACACGAAGAAAATAACAAACAAAAAAATGGCAAATAATTCATTTTGTTCCTTCTAATCGGATTTGTCCTAATGCTTCGCTAATTAGTCCAAGGAGACACTAAATTATGTCGATAAGTTAATGTTTTTTGTCGAATAATAATTAATGTCACAATCTATAATTCAAATCACACTTCATTCCATTCTTAGCTAGCTAGTAGCCACATTGCCTCTTATCATTCTAGATTTATCACTAGCATCAAACATGGCATAATTGTCAATTACCCAATCATGTAGGGGCCACAAACACAATTTCTCTAATCCTAAGGGGGGGCCATTTAGAATGTAAAGAATTTCCAAGAATTGTAATTTAATCCCCTAAAATCAGCAAAAAGTTATTAGAACCCCATTCCAAGGACTTTTACGTCAAAATTATATGCTACACTCGATGAAGTCTACGTCGAATCTGAAATAAAAACTTTTTTTTTATGTGATGGCCCTTCTACTCCTAAGGGTCACATGTGTAAATATGGACAAAATAGAAAATTCTGGCACAAATTCAAATCTTTTTTTACAGTGATGATCATTAAATAATGCAAGGTCCACGTGATTTAGTTGCAATGTTTTATTTTTTAGGTCAACCATAATAGTAATGATCCAACTGTAATAAAAGAATTAATAATAACAATAATCATACACTGATTAAAAAAAAAAAGATTTACACCTAGCAAACATTGAATTGCATTAACAAATCTCCACCTTCCGATCACAAACAGACATGCCACGTGTTGCTTCAAATAAATTAATATCAAAAAATATATTTAAAACCAAAAAGCAGGGTCATTATGGTAAATTTGCGTCATCATTTTGATTACTTACCCAAGAACGGGTAAAAATAAAATTACCCACAGTAGAAAAATAAAATAAAAGGAAATGGTGGTGATCATAATTACACTGGCTGACAGTAAATTTTTCACGATTTTCGAAATTCCACTTTTAACCTTCCCAAAGGCAAAAGCCAAGAGGGGGAGGGAGCAGGGATCCAGTGTTTCGCAGTGGTGTATAGTGTATTTCAGTTTGCCTGTGAAACAGAGAAGACAGTGACCAAAAGGTGGGGGCCCACTAGTGATGCCACCAGCTCTTATGCCAGGTGCTGGGCCCCACTTCCTTAATTGACACGTCACACTCCTTGCTTTCAATTTCACCATCATACCCCCCCAAACTTCCCCAGTATTATTTTCAACACACTTTTGTGAAAAAATAAATTAAATTGCATTTTAACAAATTAGTATAAAACTTTTAATATATTTTATTGTGAATATATAATTAATAAAAATATTATTTTCGAAATATTTAATTAAATAAAATATCAA